AGGATGCTAACACTCAAAAGCTCCGCACAGACAGATTCAAGAATCCGTTGCGGAATTGGCGCCTGGATATCCACCTCGCGAACCACCCAAGCCTACGTACAAATATACAGCACCTGACACTCCCACCCACCTACTCACCGGCTCACAAGCCTACTTAACTGCCGAGATGTGATGAGATGGGTCACATTCAAGGTGATTTCGTCGTATGGACACCCATCGGTGAATTAAGACTGATTCACGCGTGCTGCACTGCCATCGTAGACGTCAGCCTTCAGTGTCTGTGCCAGATGTGAACGTCCATCGGTGTCGTGTGACTGGCATGTGCCCTGGTGATATGGAAGGGGGGCGGGGGGCCCTTTCTCCAATTGTCCCTCTCGCTCTTCTGCCCGTGGGCCTCGGTGCAATTTCACTGCCTGCACACTCGATAGCTACACCGCCAGCACGTGTGTGTGTGTGTCCGACAAGCAGGCTAAGCAGAGCTTCTTTAATCTTCAGCGTCACAACGTTGTCGGCTGCGAAGCGTATTTACAGTCGCCGCTGATATGCACGCGCGCGCGTTCGTTCATGGATCGTAACGAACCCTCCGCGGTTTAGACGCGCGACTTGCGTTCGGCGGGTTTCATCGATGGATGCGACACCGGGACAAAAACATCCTCTTCCTTCTCAACCAGGTATTTAAATTCTAGGTTTGAAGTTTTCGTGACTGCAAGGATCCATACTCTTTGGTTCTTTCGGTAAAGTCACGTTGGTGAAAATTTAAGTAGTAACAAAAATGAAATTAACTGTGTTGCGCCCGAAACGTCGTGATTTAATTTAGTTATTTTCATTTTTATTATTATTTTTATTTTCACCTACGTGACTTTACCGAAAGAACCAAAGAGTACAGGTATTTAAAGTCGGAGCGCTTTAAGTACGACTGATCGGACGACCCTCCTGCGTCACGTGGTGCACGTCGTAGAGACACTGATCATGGCGAGCCGGCTCGTCGGCTTTACACATCGCCCCTTTGTGGATCCACTGCTGGATGGGGGGATCCCGCATGCCGCGTCGGTCGTGGGAGGTCGTTTGACTAGACTTCACTACGTTGGGCGGCGTGGGCCGGTGAAAGGTGGGACGGGGGGAGGTTATATTTTTATGGGGGGTGTTTTGTTTCCCAGTCTCATTCGCACAGTTTTGTCCGCTCCATCATCACCCTCATTTTACGTCGTCGTTATGTCACTGGCATGTAGTTCGCCAAGCATCAAAACGGCAAATCCTTACGGAGGCCATTCGATGCGCGGTGTCGCAAAAGCCTTCAAAGCTTGGCAGTGATCAGGGTACACGAGCGCGGGCCACGGCCATGATGCCAGAGGGGACAGGTGGGCCGAGCCGATAATATCCATCTTAGCGATGTCTTTATGCTTTTGTCACACAACCGCTGACAAGCACGGAGGGGGAAGGGGGGGTGGTACGGGGGGGGCGAGAGGGGCTGCGGTTGACGTCAAAAAGAACCAAGAGAACCAGCAGCCAAGCCCAGCACGTGGGGTCTGCCAGGCCTGGCGAGCATTTCAGGAGGGGGCAATAATCTGGCAATTTTTGTAATTGAGGGTAATCCCCACGAATGTGACCACGACCGACTGGGTCATTCGGACCGGCGTGTCAGAGAGAGAGAGAGAAAGTGAGTGCAGCTGCGTATAGATTTTCGGTTTGTTCACGCAGAGCCAGTGGGGCGTTCATGTTGCGGTCAAAACAAACACTATTGAATGTTTATAGAATCCTAAAAGGGTATTTGCCGCCCTTACAGAAGTTTTTGTTGTTGTTATGCTTTTCTGGACTGCCGTAACTCCTGCTTCAACATTGTTTGAGCCAGAACAAAGCCATCGGCTGTTTCCAGACAAGGTTGTGGCATTGGAGATGCGACGTTCACCCACAGCCCTGTGTCACCCCTCGGGCAGATGCCGCCGATAGCTGCCGCCTTACAGGCTTTACTGAAGTCAGGCCCTCCACGAATCCACAATAATGCAACACCAACACGTGGACCTGTTTCCACTGAATAATGTCTTACAGCTATAACATTGTACCACCCTGGCATTTACAAGGACTAGGCCTTGAGCAATGCAGATGTACAGGGTTCACTTTTCCAATGACCTACCTACACACAGTGACTGAATAAGCTAGTGCGGGGCCTGTAGCATATGTTATAAATAGGCCCTAAAAAAAAAGAAAACACAATTTTTTTACTTGCACAGTAAAGATATAAAATATACTCTGATAATATAAGCATTGTCCTTGAAACTGATTGGTCCACACCAGAGACAAAAATGACCAGATTATTGCCTATTGGCATCCTCTGGTCTAGCACCGTTTGAGACGAGACTCAAAAGAAAGCTGTCTCTGGTGTGGACCAATTAGTTTCAAGGACAATGCATATATTATCAGAGTATGTATTTTGTTTGCATTCTGACCACAAGTATTGTGGTTAATGCAGACATGATTCGTCGTAAAAAGGTTTAAGTTTTGTTGCCAGAAAAAAGGGGAAAAACCTATTCTTATATTTTGGTACTGGCAAAGGAGGTCTCGTGATTGCGTAGTAAAATATTGTATGTTTTCATTTGCTATATAGCCAGATAATACGACAAATCGCTAACCTTAAACACCCAGTCGTTCATAAAGGTTGAAGGCGGTATAGTACTACAGTAATAGAGCAAGTGCAGAACCGGAATTGATAGCTTTAAAGCATTTAGCGCGGGGCCCATGAAAGAACGGGGCGCGTAGCACATGTAGTTACTTGTGCTACTCGTAGAATCCAGCACTGCCTACACATGGCTGTACGCGTGCACATCAACAGCCATTCTGTCAATCGACCACTGGGCGAGGGCCTCCCCGCATCATACGGGTTGTGGGGCGGTTACTGAACCACACTTTTCACCACCCCTGTCAAGGGGAATAGAAGTAGAGTACAACAGTGGATCTTTCTCTACTGCCTCCTCACGCCCGCCTCGTAACCCCGCGGCATAAAAAAAGCCTCGTATTCACGTTGGTCGCCTATCCACATTACATCCAGCAAAATGATGCTGGATGTAATTACCAGCGAAACGTCCTCCTCAAATTGTAAATGTTGTGGATTTACTCTCCAATACACCGGTGGGCTTAAGTAGTAACTAATTGGCGCATTGTTTACGTGACAAACCTTACCGGCTGTGTCGGGTGGTGGAGGGTTACGACACATGTATACTTAACGCGATCTAACCCAAAAAACTTCATTATGAATATTTTTTCAACCGATAATTAGCCACTTCGTTGAGCTATTGTTTGTGATAGCCAGGTTTCTGAAGAAAAAAAATAGTTTATATTTGTTGCACACCTGGATCGGAAAGTTGGAAAGAATCCCAACCCAGTGGTTCCTGTACCTTCTTACCTAAGCTCCTCCACCAGGACCCACTTCCAAATTAGGGTACGGCGGCTATCCCACGCTCACCATTCTTATTTACCAATTTATTTATTTTCTTTTCGCAAGCCCTAAAGCCACCGACCCCATCGAAAATCGCCACAGTCAGTGATTCCCTTCAATGCCTCCGAGCCTGTCCGGGCAGCCGGCCTGGCGAACCGCGGGGGTACCGCACGGAGCGACAGACGCACACGCTACGCACGCACACGCAGACACACGCGCGTGTGGGATTTGTTTTTCGCGAACGGGGATTACACCTGAGCTCCACAGGTGAGTCGCGTTACCCAGCGCAGATGCCCGCGCGCGCTGCCAATGACTGCGTCCTACAAACTTAAACTATATATATAAAAATTGACCAGGTAAGGCCTCCTGAGCTATGTGGCTCTTTTTTCAGAAGCGACCGGGCTATCACAAATGATATCCCGACGAAGTGGCTTATCGGTTCGAAATTGAAAACAGACAAATACTCTGAACGCACGTCGATTCTAAATGTGGAGCGAAAAAAACGGAGAGAGACACGCAAACTCCAAATATAGAGCAGGCGTCAGGTTTGGGATTTAATCCACAACCTCCTGTATACCAGGCGAGGTAGTTAACATCTCGCTGTATAATAATGTCAATCTCACTTCCGGATGAAGGCCTCCCCATGCTTTGTCAATCGAGGGGGGTTGTTTAGCCATACTTCACCACGCTGGTCAGTGTATGTTGGTCAAGGCTATAGGGGGGGAAGTTTAGGTTTGGTAACCCAGGAAAGACTGAGTCTCAAGACTCTTTTCAGGAGGGCCCTGCCAGGTTTTCGCAGAGGCCGGGGGTGATATTACTGCTACTGCCGCGTGTGTAATTCCATTCGAGTCATCACAGGTATTTTTTTTTGCAGTGGGATGTTTTGGTCGAGACCAGTTACACCACGTGTGTTTTCAGCTTTGGGATGAAACCGGAGAATCCAGAGGAAACGCATACAGAACAGGGGGAAAACATACAAACTGCACAAAGGATGGCACCAAAAAAGAGTGTAACCATTGCACCACAACCTTGCCACCCATCTCTAACTAGTTGGGCTACCGGGTTCAAACAGAGTCAGAATATGTATTCATACTGGAGGAATCCGATGAGCTAAAAATCTCTTTTTCGCAGATGTCCAGTAGCTGCAGTGCGCTAACCCATTGTGCCACCGCTCCGCAACACGCTATTCTTACACCTCGCCCACACGTGCACGAACAAGAGTGGACAGAACCGTCCCGACAGTGCACGGGGCGAATGAGCGAATGGCGAAATCTCGCGACAGCGGTGTTTCACGTTAGTATGTACGTTGAACTTCTAAGCGCACCGTACGTAGCCCAACCGTGTTCTAATTAGAGGTGCGGGACACCAAACTAAATACATTGTTAATGCTCCACAGCAGTGCCTGGCGAGGTTGTATACAACGCAGTGATGTCATGTTAAGGGCCCATGGTGTAAAGAGAAGCCACTCACCAATAACAAGGGCCCATCTGTGGGGAGGGGGAGTGTACGACACGTGCTGCATCTCGTGCCCCCCCCCCTTCTCCCACCGCCCGCCCCCCCCGCATCTCACCTGGCTTCGTGGCGAGTCTCGCCGCCTGCTCCGAGTAAGCCGACGCGTTGGGGTAGGCGAATGCGGAGCTGCCTGTAGGAGACACACAACAGCTGCTCGTGGTCGGGTGTACGCGGACACGCGCTCGCCCGCTCGCTCAACCGCTCGCTCGCGCCGTTCGCGTTCCTCCCCCACGTCCTCTCGTGCCACGTCGGCGCGCCCCGGATGGTCCCCGCGGGGGGCACGCACCCCACGGGGACACGGGGGAATTCATGGGGCTCAGTCGCCGGGACAAATGCAGAGTAAATTAAAAAAAATCCCTAATTGTAAACTCGCGCTTCGCGTGTTACTTTGCCGCCCGGGGGAACGCTCTCTGACGCATTGCCCGTCAGCGCTGCTTTGTAAATGCGTTCTTCCCTAAGTGTTGTGTCGTGTGCACGGAAGCGGAGTGCTAGGTGTGCTAGGTGCGTGTGTGCGTGCTAGGTGTGTGTGCTCGGTGTCCGAGTTGCGTGTGTGTACGAGAGCCAAGGCAGCGGAGGACACGTGTTTGGGTGAGCGCATCTCCAGCAAGCAAAGTCGAGCAGCGCAGGTGGTGGGTGGTTCTGGTCGCGCGAGCGGGGGGGGGGGTGCGGACCCAGCACGGGCAGGAATGGTACGAGGACATGCCGCCAGCCTTGCCACAACCCCGCCTCCTGTCACCAACCCCTAGGACCTCTCCCAGAACCCAGGATCCCCTCCTCCCCCCCCACTCACCCACTCACCCACTTCCCCCCCACCCCCCCCCCCCCGATTCCAATATTTGATTGTCCATCGTGATGACGATGATGTCCGTGTGTATGCACGAGTCGCACGCGACGGTACTCGCGGCGCTGCAGCGGTAGTGTGTGGTCATAGAGGAGTGCGCTGCAGCGGTAGTGTGTGGTCATAGAGGAGTGCGCAAGCGGTGCAACTGCGCCCCACCGCGCCACGGGACCGGAGAGACCCCAGGCAGCATGCTCACGAAGAGAGGCGGTGAATTGAACAGGGGCAGGACTTCCCTTTTTCAATCCTTGCAACCATAGGGGCCATGCCAATCCGGGCTATTTTCGCCACACTGCCGCACGGTTTCGGCGTTATTGACAGATGCGGGCTGTGCACATCTCGTGAGGATGTCCGCACGAGATAGAGGCCTCAGGCGAAAGAAGAAAAAATTCCCATGGATTTTAACATTATCCAGGCCGCACATTTTTGATGATACCGTAATTATTTTTTTTTTGTGTTTCAAAGAAGCCGGTTTCCCTGCACATGAAACCGTTGTACTGTATAAATGACAACACACACACAACGCACTAAACGTCAATAATAATCATACAATCAATGAGTATGATCAGTTAGTATAATCGGTGGATAGGGATTAGTTCAGTGTGCGTTACCTGCACAGGCAGTGGCAGTTAAAGTTAAATGTAAATTTTAAAAATATGCCCGTAGGATCATTCAATAGGACTTTGTTAACAGAGTTAGTGAACGTGTGGTCGTGTCGGAAATTGCAAATACAAATTGCAGAGGCTGGAATTTGTTCTGCAATCGATGGGAAACAGGCATGCTCAATTTCGTTTGACGGGTCCATGCTTTCTGCAAGCGCTTGGACGTGCAGGCTGCATGCAAATCAAATGCGGCTCCAACCATTAAAACCCATCCGTAATTCAATGAAACGTCGCGAATCGGAGCGGCGATTGGAATTCACGAATGGATTCTCCTCCTTTACCTTCGCCCTTGCAGTGGGACAGACAGAGGGCTGCACGCACACGGTACGTGTGACGGTGTTACATTTAGGTTTGGAATCTTGAAACGTACTCGATTCTTACATGCACGAGTTGACGATGCACGTACTGCGAGTGCAAGAATCGATTACATTTTTGTCATCGTTACGACCCCACACCAATGAACATTCGTTGCACCGCGGGGGAAGAACTCTTCTGCGACGAACAAATGCATTTCTTCCGCCAATCAGAATCAGTTTTTTTAGCCAGGCGACACCGTCACGGGATATTAAACAGAGGGCACCTTCACCACCATTGGTGGCAACGATCCCAGCGGTGGCAAAGCAGGACCACGGACGCGTTGCGTGGGATGACAGTTACGATGGGCCATTTAGCGCGTACGGCTCGCGTCCGCTTTGTAATCCGAGTGTCGTTTTTTTTTTGCAGGTTGGGCCGCGTTTAACCTCCTGAAGGTGCCCGCAGCAGTGCGTGGCGGAGATTCCAAGAGAAAGAGACCGACGGTTTTGCGGCCAACGGCGAAGACCCAACCCGGACAAACAAAAATTCATAATCCACACGTGAATCGCGCCCGGGAACGTTCTCCCGTTCCGTTCGTCAGCTCCACCTCACGAGGGAAACGTCAAGAGGCGGGCGGACGCAGGCGGGGAGGCAGAGCCGCAGGAGGGAGAGGTGGCGCCATGCAGGGGCGTTGAACGGGGGGGGGGCGGGCGCGTGCGGGTGGTGAGGGGTGGTGAAGGGTGGCAGGCAGGCAAGCACATGGTGGGGGGTGTGAGGGGGGGGTGACGGAGAGGAAAGTGGGGGTGGGGGGTTGTGTCTTTGGGGAGTGGGGGTCAGGCCTAGGCTCGCTCTCCCCTCGTCTCTCTCGTTTTGCAACTTCGGGGGGAGGGGGGCGAGTGGCCGCTACCTCGAGCTTGCGTTGTCCTCGGTGACGACTGCAGGGCGCTATCCACGTCGGCACAAGTCAAGTGTGGGAGTGGCGCTGTAACAGAGTGGGGGGCAGCTCCCAGTTTACTTGCAGCCAAGCAGCAGGGGCAGGCGAGGAGGATTTCGAGTGAGGCGTGCCAGGTCACCTCATTCCCTCTTCGGAATTCATCATTAAACTCTTGACGGAAAAAAATCCAGCCCTCTCGTCCTTCCGCCTCAACCCCACCACCGCCACCCCAAGAACCTCTCCTCACCCTGCTCTCTCCAGCGCACACCCACCCACCCACCCACTCACCAATCCACCCACCCACCAACCCACCCACCCACTCACCAACCCACCGGGTATTTTTCTAGGGCGACCGTGCACCGAGCGGAGGAGATGAATGGGGGCGTTCGCGGCAAGGAGTGAGGGAGGGCCAAGACACCAGGAGGAGGCCAACGCAGTGGCGGCGTTCGAATTTTAGCGGCCAGAAGCTGCGAGTGAGGACATCTCTCGTCAACAGTTATTGAGCATGCGGGGACGCGGGGATGCGGGATGGCCAGAGGGCACCGGTCGGTTGATGTGGCGGCGGATGAGGGGGTGGACATGCAGTGTATTCTTACCTCTTGTTTTTAAACGTCCGATAAGCAGGAAGAGAATACAGAGGTAGAGTTAAAAGCGTCCGGAGAAAGAGGTCCCAAACAAGGCAGGGGGGTTAACGAAGGTCCCTTCGTCATTTTAAACGAACGTATCGCGTGCGGTGACGTGTACGCGTGGGCTAACGCATCGTGTGGGGTAACGCATCGTGTGGGGTAACGCATCGTGTGGGCTAACGCATCGTGTGGGCTAACGCATCGCGTGGGTTAACGTGTCAGCGAGCGGCTGACTGGGACGTAGCTTTTTGTGACCGGACTGAACGGTGGTCGGGCACTCGTGCGGCTCTTGTTCGTGTGAACCTGTGGCGTGTGACCTGCCTGCACGTGGCTCTAGCGCCACCGCCGTGTCCTCTCGCGTGGAGACCTTCGCCCCCCCCCCCCCCCCCACCGAGCTCCGTGACATTTGCATCTCCCCCCGTGGACGCGTTTTGAATGTTTTGCAGTCGCCTCAAATCGAGGGGCACCTTGGTAACGGGTGTGGGCCACACCGATTGTGCAACTAATTTTATTAATCACCCGATGGCTATCTACTGCCACATTCTAAAGCAATAACAACAGCAAATTTGGGTCGTCCAGGTCATTTGCCACAACACCGTTCTTAAAGACCACAAGCGACGCAACACAAGCGACGGAATTCAAGAAGTTTGCGTCACTGAATAGACTCTCTCTGTGACCCCCCCCCCCCGTTTAAATCCATCACGGGGCCCTTTCCACCCCAAGGGTGCTCTTCGTACTGGAGAATTCCACTGTTGTCTCGCGTGTCCTGATTAAATCGTCAGGAGCCAATTCGCCGACGTGGCAATTTTCCAGCGGGCGGCTGTGGGACTCCACGACACGTCCATCGAGTCGGCCGACAGACTGACCAACGACCTGACCATCGAACTGACCATCAACCCGACCATCGATGTGGCTAGCAAATTGACCATCAACCTGACCAGCGACCAAACCATCGGCCTGACCAGCGACCTGGCCATCGACCCGTCCGGCACCCGCCCTCTGCGACGAACGATCCGACGCACCCGCCCGCCCGCCGCGGCCTACCCGGCCGCGAGGTGGCCACTCACTTTCCCTGAGGTAGTTCAAGTGCGACAGCAGCACTTCGGCGTTGTAGGCCGTCGTGAGACGCATGAGGTCCTCCTTGCTCATCTTGCAGAGCTCCTTGCCGTCCACGGCCTGGAATAGAGCCGGCTCTACCTCCAGGAGGCCGTACTCCTTCACAGCCCACTCGAGCCACTGGCGCACGTGCTCAGGTGTCCACAGGGTCGGGTCTGCGAGCGGGCAAGGGGGGGGGGGGAAGGTGACCGTGTGTTGGGGTGTGCATACACGTTTGAGACGCAGTGGTGCAGCGGAAAGCACACTGCGCTATGAACCCAGCAACCCGAGTTCCGATTCCCGCACATGGCCAACGACGGTGACGATTATTTGAACTGGTCCTGGGCCTCCCCTACGTCGACTCTACCTCAAATAAGTAGCTGATGAGGTGTGTTAACACCGCCACTGGGGAGACAAAGGCGGCCGGGCGTGGCGTTGGCCACCCACCCCCTCGTCTGCCCTACCAGCCTTCATAGGTGCTCGCTAACAGCACTTGCCCCAACAGGCTGTTAAGTCTATATAGGGGATCTTTGTCATTGTACACGTACGTATGTTGAATTTCTTTCGCACTGTAAAGTAGTCAACTGTGCCAATCGAAGGTGCGGGGGGAAGGACAACAAACTAAATACAGAATGGGTAACGGGACGTGGCTTTTGACGAGACTGAGTGGTGACCGGGCACTCGTGCGGCTCATGTTCGTTTGACCTGTGTGTGACCTCTGTGTGACCTCTGTGTGACCTGTGTGTGACCTGTGTGCACTGCTCTAGCGTAGAGACCTCTAAAAAATGTTTTAACATTTAGTTTTAAAAGTGCATAACTCCAGTGGCTTCCCTAATATTGGAAGTAATAGCATTCCAGACGGCCGCAGAAACGCACCTTAAAGCGCCGCGCAATACGGTGACCGTCGTTATTTGCGCGTATGTATGATGACCTTCCGTCGCACCGTACGTAGCCAAGCGCGCTAATCGGAGGTGCGGTTTGTGCAGTCGGCTCGCAAGGCGAGGCACGAACGCGACGCGTCGAGCGACTCGTGATGCCGGCAAACAACCGAGAAGCAAACTCGACAAGCGGCCGTTACAATGCCATGCTCCACGTTGGGATTTTTAATGTCGTACGAGAAGGGAGAGAACGAGAGAGAGAGACTTAATGGGGCGACCATCAACAAACTGCACGGTGTTGAATCGCTGCGCAGTAAACAGAGGCTGCAAGGCATTATTTCCCTACATTGCAGTTGTTTGTTGTAGCCAGTTTCATTCCGATTGTGTTATTGGCAGCATGCAATGTTTTTCTCACAATTGCATTGTCGGTGTCACATCACGAAAGGATGCCATGATACCGGATATCTCTCGCAGGCCAGCGCAATGCTTTGTGTTGGAAGAACGGCCCATGGAAGTGGGTATCACAGAACTACCTCTGAGACCTCCTCTTCAAGTGACCTCTGTTCCGCACACATTAGAGGGCAGCACTTCCCACTCGCTCGACATACGAGAGTGAGGTTCAGCAAGTTGGCACAGGAGGAGGACACAGCTGGTGCATCTGCCAGTCATCTCAGTCGGTCAACCCGCACTTGCTGGGTCTGTCCTGTGACCACTTCACGTGGCCTCAAAGCGCACCTGGTCTGGCACGGGCGCCGTGGTGACGTCACCGTCACGGTGGCTGTTGTTTATTGCTACATAAATTCTTGAGCCAAACTAAAGCGCACGGCCAAATTCAACGTGATGATTGTTTTTTTCTTCTTGCCATTGTTACAATGTAGAGAAAGCGACGCATGCTTTGCATAGTCCGTACCGGCCGGTACAATGACCCGACGCTCGCTGGCCGTTGTGTTGGGCGGCGGCAGCCCCTTGTCGTCCAGGTAGCCGCCGTACCCCGGCTGCGACGCCTCCACCGCGCCCGGTGCAGGCATCTTAGCTCGCTTGGTCACGCTGCAATCAACCGGCGACTCCCTGCAAGATATTGAGTGAGAGTTAGATAGAGCGAGAGAGTGAGTGAGAGAGAGAGTGTGAGTGTTAGAGAGTGACAGAGAGTCAAAGAGAGTGTGCGCATGGGACAGCATGGTCACGAGAGCAATATGACGTTGCTTATCATGGTTAAATACATGTTTTCATTCGGGTAGCAATTGAATGCCTTGTGCTCACAAGAAGAACAAATCTTTCCAGGAGCTAAGCAGGTTTGAGCCTGGATAGGTCTTGGTTGGGTGACCGCCATGCATAACATGGGTGTTAGGGGCAGCTGTGGGTCTACAACACCAGCAGAAGGAATTGGGCAAAAGCTACTGTTGTACTGTACTACGCTACAGCGTTTCTGCTCCCCACCATCATCAGCCCACACTGCAACCAGAATGGCGAAGAATTATGAAATAAGTCCCGTGGCCCTCATCCAGCAGTGGATTGGCAAAGAGGGGGCCGTGCGGGAACATCGAGCAGGGTTGGTGTATCACACAGAGATTTGTGAAACTCGCTGGGCTGTGAGAGCAGCTGAAGGATGGCAGTACAACAAGGGGGTGGGGATGGAGGGGGTGGGGGTTCGTGAACCCATCCGTGTGGACCGCTGAATGTTATCCCCGTTGTAGGTGTGGTGGGTTTTATTTGCGTACTCTTGTTTCTTAGCTCTCCTCAGCATGCAATGCAAGGGCATTGGTCAAACATTGCAAGATAAAATGCTCCTGCAATAGAGTCTTGAGACTTAGTAAGGCTTTCACAGATAAGTGTAATAATATGATAATCATCATCAATAATATGCATTCATTGACTAAGCGTCAATCTGAGTGCACAACTCCAAATTGAAAAACAGTTCAAATCCTAATTGGGGGTCAACTCAACCCATCATCTAGTGCGGGCCACTAAAACTAGCACTAGTTTTTCTTATTTGTTTGGCAAATCAAACATTGGGCCCTCCTAGGAAAGTTACTCTGGGCCTCGTCACGAGAATGTGAAATTTCTACCGACGGCTTAGTAAAGCCAAATGGTGGGGTTAGCGCCCACCATACGTTTGTCACCGTCCACCATGTTCCAAAAAGGGGTGTGGATTTTTTTTTTGTTCAACCCCTCATCTGGTCCCGAGAAAGCAGAATTCAACTGAGAAAAGCAGAAGTCGCACACTGTATTCACACATCGTTTCTCAACAGAAGTGTAAAAAAACGGCGAACATTGGCACACGCACGCCGCTATCGGAGCGGGAACACGCCGATTGCGTTCACTTATTTATTATTATATTGACTGTGCCACCTTAGTGACCAAGCCACCTTGAATGTACCCAATCTTGTCACGTCCATCTCATAGGGCGCCACGGTGGCGAGATGTTAACTACCTCGACTGGTATGCAGGAGCTTTTGGTGGCGGGCGTTACCTGGTAAAAAATTTAAAAATAGTTTTAATAAGCTCAGCAGGATTGAGCCTGGATGACGCTCGAATGGGTGACCACCGTGCGTGACAATAAGCTGCTGGTAGGCTACGTTGCGGGCAGCGGAGGGTGATGAAAAATCCATTGTTTTTTTGTCCGCTCCAACGTCTACACTTCCTCGCCTTCACCAACCTGCACAGACCAGCGTGGTTAAGTATGGTCAAATAACCCCCCCCCCCCCAACACACAACCCACATGGCGTGGGTGGCCCTCATCGAGCGATGGATGGACAAAGATGGCTGTACGCAGCCAACACACAACAGAGGCGACCACCGCATCTCGCACTTTCAGATGCGCTGCAACCCTCTTCCTTCCGATATTCGGAAGCCACTGGGAACTGTGCACTTTTAAATCACCTGGATTGAAACACTCATCTGTCCTTCCCCCCCGCACCTCTGATGAGCACGGTTGGCCACGTTACAGTGCCGAAAGAAGTTCAACTTGCACACACGTGACGTACAAACGGAGACAAGAATACAAGCGACGAGCAAAGTCAAACGCCTCTCTTGCGTGCCTAACAAATTGTCCGCGAATGCCAACGACACCAATCAGACATACGCGCGTGCTTAAATGGGCAAAATAAAGTCAACACACGATACTGCATCGATGCTGTCGCCCTTACGAATTGGAAGGGTGCTCTCGAAGGTATCATTCATTATGAGAGAATCACAAGACGGCAGTTTTTAACCGCACTGTTGGAAACGTTGTCAGCATATTGCTCACGTATTTAAGGTGAACAACGTCCATCCTGGACATCGTCAGGAGAATGGCACCAGACAGAGAGGTAGGTAGGTGGATATACGTCGTTACACTGAAAATGCTTCAGTGGATCTTCTGTCATACGGGACAAATAATTCGAATTGGTCACAGCCGAGACGTTGGCCAACGGCTGGGACTCTTCCAAATCTCGACACCGCGGAGGACGCGTGGCGGCAAGCAAGGATGACAAGCCGATGAAATATTCACGTCTGTAAACGATGAGAAAGCCCCCATCGTCAGGGAGCAATAGCCCAGAGAGCCGCGCATTTCTAGCGACACACGCATCGAGAGGGCACGGCCTCTGTGCGTCATGCAAGCAGAAAGAAGAACACAATCGGCTTTTCCTGAAGAGGTGCATTGTGGTCCGCTTGTCTTCAATCACCGTCAGAACAAATTTGAGCGCATTCGACCAGCTGACAGCAGCAGTGGTGCAGTGATAGGCAACCGTTGACAATGGTGACTGCGCCGTGCTGATGAGTCACAATGAGGACAAAACTGGTCCACAGTTTGCATCAACGTTGCCGCAGTCAGTCGGTCACATTTGCTCAAATATATTTCAATGGTCGCCTAAGACAAGAGGACTACAATATGCACTTGTTCAGGAAATACTGGTGGTGTATTTCCATACGCACATATAATCGCAATACCAAATGCGCTGTCTAATTACGAACCCTTAATGACACATTTTGGGGGGAGTGGTGGTGCAGTGGTTAGCACATTGCGCTCTGAACCCGGCTGCCTGAGTTAGATTCCCGGCCACGGCTAAGATCATTGTAAAGTGATATCTGAACCTGTCCTGGAAAATCCTTTGACGTAACGAACAGCTTGGTGAAGTATGGTCAGACGACCCATGCCTGGCCTTTCATTCTCGCGGACTGACAAAGAGACTGTAAATAAGTATAATGGACAATACCCCTTTTGAACACCCAGTACATCCCGGTCGTACATTACCGAATCACGTTGCGAATGTAAACATTAACTCTTTCTGTTGTTGCTTGAACGCGGATACGAAAAGCTCACAATCTCCCACTTTCACCGCAGCACGAGTGACATACGTAGCGCGTTCCAGTTCAGACCATTGTGTTTAGCGCCTTCACCCCCCCCCCCCCCCCCCTCGTCACGAGAGTGACTGTGAGCATTCTCTGGCCGTGTTTACGCACTCGGGCTGGTACGCGCGCGCACGCACAATAACAGCAGCGCAAAAAAAAAACCCGCTCCGAGTAAATCGCATTGTCTGGCCTCAAAGCAAAATGTCAACACCGCGTTCCCGTTTCCTGCATTTGTCTGACTTGAGCGCCTGGACCTGGGACCGGGACTCGACCTGCACGCAGCTGTGCGTAACATAGCGCGGAGTTGCAGCTAGTCATTAATTGTTTTACTCTGGTTTGTGTCTCCGAGGTTTGGCCCAACCCTTTGATGCATTTCACCAGTTATCAAATCATCGGTAAGGCCCTCGTAGCAACAACGACAAAAATGAACAGAATCAGAATTTGTATGTCCCCTGGAAGAATCTGCTGAGCTGTGAAGCTCTTTTTCACAATGTCCAACTGTGCACTGCGAGCTGGGCGGTATTGGATCATCTGCACGAGGGTTATCGTGGCCATCATGCCATTCTCCCTCCACAATTGAGATTATTGAGATTATTTTGACGCTATAAATGTCCAAATGATGGTCCACTTTGTTGAGCTATCATTTGTGGCCAGGTCGTTTCTGAAAAACAAGTTAATACCTCAGTGGGCTTTGCCTGGTGTGATGGGGAGGGTTTAGTTTTATTTCGGTGATGTTTACCTTTATTGTACTTTCCACTACCATCATGTTGTTGTACTGTTTGTCATCACGTTCTTACCCACCCCTACAGGACATCTGTGAAAAAGAGCTTTATAGCTCATCGGATTCATCCAGCGTAGATAAATACTCTGATTCAGATTAAATCCCCTTTTGAAGAAAACACACAAATCACTCACCGTCGGTTAGCCACCTCCCTATGACTCTTAAATCGCTGCTACTGCTAGCACGGTTATTGTTCCCATGAACATCACTCAGACACTCTGGAACCCACAACAGCACATTCACTCACTCGCTCACACACTCGCACACTCACCCACTCACTCAGCCACTCACTCACTTACCCACCCACTCACTCACCCACTCACTAACTCACGCAGCCACTCACACACTCACCACAGTGCAGGTCACACCAGCACAACCAGTAACTCACCCACTTACTCACTCACTTACTCACCCACCCACCTTCTCACTAACATACTCAAAAACTAACTCGCTCACCAACTCATTCACTCGCCCATCCACTCACTAACTCACTAACCCACTGACTCACTCACTCACCCACTTACACACTCACCAAACTGCAGGTCAAACCAGCACACCCACTCTCGTCTCTTTCCCTAAGTTCGAATACTGCACAGTAGTAGAAATTATAATAATAATCTTGCTTAATAATTCTAGATTTGAAGCTTTCGTGACTGCAAGGATTCATATTCTTAGGTTTTTTCGGTAAAGTCACGTAGGTAAAACATCAAAATTAATGAAAATAAAGTAAAATAAAACAAAAATCACGACGTTACGGAGGCAACACAAGTCTCCGTCATCAGGTGTGACGGTCCCACCTGATGACGGAGACTTGTGTTGCCTCCGAAACGTCGTGATTTTTGTTTTATTTTATTTTATTTTCATTAATTTTGATGTTTTACCTACGGTCCCACCTGATGACGGAGACTTGTGTTGCCTCCGAAACGTCGTGATTTTTGTTTTATTTTATTTTATTTTCATTAATTTTGATGTTTTACCTACGTGACTTGCTTAATAAATTCTAGAAACGCGCTCACGCTTATCGCTCCCAACTTTAACGGTGCTGCACGTTACTTAGCCGCGCGTGCCTCCGTGATCGGCAACCCGCGATTGACAACAAAACAATAAATCAACAACAACAACGGGACACCGAACGTCGCCAGTCACCTGCTGCCGTTGATGTGCTCGTACTCTCGCTTGACGCTCACGCGCCCGCCCTGCGCCAACCACTCGGTCTGGGGAAGAGGGCTCAGCCGGCCACCCTGCGTGAATTCACCGGGAGCCGAGGCGGTCATCTCTCCCTTGAGGAGCGAAGAGGGGACACCCACGGGCGCGCTCGCCGTGCCCTGGAGCGCCGAGGACACGAACGCGGGCGAATCGACGAAGAGGGCTTGGTCGTCACTCACGACGGACAGCGCTTCCTGCGAAGGGCAGATCGCACGCCGCATCGTCAGCATCAGTAATAGAAGCAGCAATATCATCATCATCATCAGTCGCAGCAGCTGCAGCAGGATCATCATTAGCAGCCGCATGATTACCATAATCAGCATCAGGATATCGTCATGAGTATCATCAACGGGATCATCATCAGTAGCCAGAGCAGGAACATTAGTATCAGTAGCAGCAGTAGGATCATCGTTATCAGTAGCAGCAGCAGGATTATCATCAGTAGCAGCAGCAGGATCATCATCTGCAGCAGAATCAGAATTATCAGCGGCCACAAGATTATCAGCAGTAACAGAATCATCATCAACATCATCTGTAGCAGGCGCTGGATCATCATCTGCAGCAGCAGCAGGATCATCATCATCTGCAGCAGAAGCAGGATTATCAGCGGCCACAGCAGGAACAGGATCATCATCTGCAGCAGCAGCCTTCCCAGTAAACATGGAACGTTGGACCAACGATGGCCCAACAGTTCCGAGCCACATGCCATCAAGGCTTACCCAAGCCGTCCCCATCTCTCATGGTTCTGATATGTAATGACCCGCCGCTCGGCACCCATGTATCGTAGTGACGCACCCAGTCAATCGCGGATTGAATGTACTTCGGCTACTGTATGAGGAAGCATGGCACCTGCAGAGAGTGATGGGTGATCGGAAAAAAACTAGACTATAAAAACAATAAACTATTTTTTTTGTATTTTACCTGGTAAGGCCCACTGAATTTTTCAGAAGCGACCTGGGCACAAATGATAGCTCAACGAAGTGGCTTATCACGTGTAAATTTATGGGAACCAAATACTCTGAAGCACATTTTTTTTATAAATGTGGTGGGAAAGATCGGAAGACCCGGAGAAAAATACACGCGGACCAGGGGGAGAAAAACACGCAAACTCCAAATATACAACAGGCATCGTCAGCGTCGAGATCGAACCCACGACCTCCTGTATACCAGACAAGGTAGTTAACATCTCGTCACCGTGGCGTCCGAAAACAGGAGCAGTGTATGGCGGAGGTGAAGACCCGAGAGACAAATATAGCAGAGTAACAGGAGGCTGCCATGTGGATGGAGTTCAGGGACAGAGAGGGGAATTTCAGAATCAGAATATTCATTTATCTTGGAGGAATCCGATGAGCTATAAAACTTTTTTTCACAGGTGTTCAGGTGTCCAACTTGCATGGGGTGAAGAGGATTCACCTGCCAATGTTGCAAGGACGCAGTTAAACAATGCCAACGTTGGCTCGGCATTGGCACGTGGTGGAAACCGTTGGACTAACGTTAGCCAAACGTTCCATGTTGCTCTCGGGGGCTCGGGAGGTGAGTGGGTGGGTCGGGGAAGAGAGTTCAAAGAGGGGGTAGATTTGAGAAATCATTGGGGGACTTGTAAGTTTCTCTAGCTGGGCTCTCTCGTCTGAGTAGAGTGGCAGAAGAGGTGTGAGTAGAGTGGCAGAGGCGGTATGCCTGTTTTGGGGCGAGAGATGAAGCTGTGGGTAGAGTAGCAGTTGAGAGAGCCTGCTCACAGTGCGGTCTTGCAGAGGAGATCTACCTGCTGTATTGTAGGTTCTCGTCACGACAAAGAGTATGACGGGCCCATGGGTGCTGCGTGCAACTTAAAAATAACAACATAACCTCACGTAGCGTGACTACTTTATGTAAATGAGCAATGCAGTTAGCAATTGCGCAACCTCTCCCCTCTGCACTCTTCCCTGTGTGTATCCACACGTCCCATTTTACCAGCCGGTCGCACAGCTCAATGACACGACCACTCGCCTAGCCCGGCAGACGACTGCGCGACTTGAATGAGAACTCTTCAGAACGTGTCCATTCACACGAGTTTTGTGTGAATCTCGCGAAAGACTGAGAACCGCGGTTGTTAATCATCCTTTCACACGTGATCCCAACATTCCCATTTTCGAACCACTTCAGAGGCCCTCCGTTAATCCACCGCTGGATATATATTATGGCCATGTTCGGTGGTGGGGGGTTTGGAGGCAGCGGGAATGGGGGGGGGTGTTTAACCATACTTCACCATCGCCGGTCCGGTGCCCGGTTGGTCAACTCACCGCTGCTGATGTGAGCCATGGGCCAGCCCCCCAAATCGAACCGAGATTGCCGGCGGGATCATGGTGCTGTGGTGCGGCGAGTAAGCCCACGCTGCAACACTGCGCGACGTCGTGGTCGTCCAACATCGCCGGCGTTACCCGCTGCTTAAGTCAGCACATGCCTCGCAGATGTGGGGGGCCCTTCGTGCTGTTAGAGCCACTTAATTGTGCGCTACTGGCACGAAGATGCTCAACCGTGCCACGCGGTGGTGGTGGTGGTGGTGGTTTGAATGTTCTTTTTTGAGCCGTTCAATTGCAACGGGCACAAGAAAACCACGGGACCCATTGCACGTGCCGGTCACAGAATCAGAATCGGTGGCTAACCCCGGCGGTGATTGATTTGTGCGTTTTGTCTCAAAGGGGGTTTAATGAGAATATGTATTGATACTGGAGGAATCAGATGGAATCCGATGAGCTATGAAGCTCTTTTATTTCAGAGATGTCCAGCAGGGGCGGGTAAGAACGTCTTCGACAAACAGTACAACAAGATGATGGTTAGTGCAAAGTACAAGAAAGGCAAAATAAATCACCCAAACACATACAAATACAAAATAAACCATTCCCGTCCTACTAGATCAAGCCCACTGAGGTATTAACTTATTGTTCAGAAGCGACCTGGACACGAATGATACCTCAACAAAGCAGTTTATCATTTATCTAAAGTGACCTCCTGCTGTAAATATGTAAATAGTTGAGTTCCCTATTATCTCTCTCCATGTCTCTGTGGTCCGAAGGAGGTCCGTTGAACGGAACGTCTATTATAGGTAAAAAAAAAAACAATCCTTTTTAAAGCAGTAGTTATTGACGATTGTGTTGTTTTTTGGGTGTTTTAGTGTGTACTGGTTTAAGGCAGTTAATGGAAAATGTGATGAGTGTTAGTGGTCACTTCTCTTGCACATTTCTCACCACTTACAAACTCAGTTCCTTATATTTGTTTTTTTACGCAAACGGGTCGTGTGGCCAGAACGTCGCAAGCCCCAGCCGTCTTTATCTCCCCACCCTTCTCTCTCAACCCCCCACCACCACCCCTCCAACTTCCTATACTGACACGTCGCACCAGATAAACCTACCTACTCATTTTAGGCTGAGTGGACCTAAGCGCAGGCCTTGGTCGTTTCCAAATGCAATGGGCTGTCACCCCCACGGTGACGAGTCCACGCAATGCGACAACCGCTGCGCCACCACTCCCCGTACACAGTCATGTTCTATACACTGCTGGATGAAGGCATCACCACACCGTTTCAGTGGTGAGGGTTGTTTGACCATACTTCCCCATGCTGGTTCGTGGTGGGTGGGGGGGGGCAGGAATCGAACTCAGCCAGTCACTGCTACGTTGGGTGTAGAAGGCAGTGCCGCTTAACCCGTGCTCCGGACATCCCTTTTACAGATTTATATATAAACGCCTTAATCAATTATTATAAAAGTGTACGTAAGATAGTGGTGGAAATGGAAGTTCACATCGTACAACTGTTTGTGTGTGTGTGTTAAGTTTGTCCTTTCCCCGCACCTCCGATTAGCACGGTTGGCTACGTACGGTGCGAAAGAAGTTAAAATTACGTACTTACAAAGAACACATTTTGAATGTAAATCTTTAAGCGTTAGTGGAGCAAAAGTCGCATCGTCTCGTGTGACAAAATAAACGTACTAATAGCAGAAGTGCGGAGTCTAACAGAGAGCTATTGGCAACATTGTACAAGTACATGTCGATATATATACACGTTTACATGCATAGTGTATAGTTGTGTGTTTGTAATATTTAGTTTGAAGCTGTTGGTAACACAATCGCTGTGTGTTCATTTACGAACGCGTGGGGTGGGAGCGGTGGCGCAATGGTTAGCGCGCTCTGCTTCGCAACAACAACAAGTGGTGAACACTTGAACCGGTCCTGGGCCTTCCCTAGGTCCGTTCGGCCCTTAATTACAATGTTACGGCTACCCTGGTGCGGTGTGTAAACATCGGCACTGGGGAGACAAAGGCGGCCGGGCGTGGTGTTTGCCAACCACCCCCTCGTAGGTCCTGCTCGCTAACAGCTTGCCCCAACAGTCTGTTAAGTCTACACGTATATGTGTAAGTATGTCTGAGTATGAATGTTTATGTTTGTCGGTGAACATAAATACGTAATGTGCATGTTTATGTACGGATACGTACGCATGTATCTGTATACGAGTCTTTAACGTGGACGTTTGCGAATGTGAGCATCAATGCGGGTGTACTTATAAATGCGTATTTATATGCACTAGTCTTCGCGTGTATGTATATTGTGTGAGTATGTATATTGTGTGAGTATGAATATTTTGTGTATGTATATTGTGTGAGTGTGAATATTGTGTGAGTATGTATATTGTGTGAGTATGAATATTGTGTGAGTATGAATGCGTTTGTGTGGGGAGCGGTAGTGTCGTGGTTAGCGCTACACAACCGGCCACCCGAGTTCGATTCCTGCTCACGGCCAACACCAAGTGACGATTATCTGAACCGGTCCCCTGGCCCTCCTCTAGGTCTACTCAGCCTCTAATGAGTACCTGGTGCGGTGTGTAAACATCGCCACTAGGGGAGACAAAGGCGGCCGGGCGTGGTGCTGGCCACACTTCATAGGTGCTCGCTAACAGCACTTGCCCCTACAGTCTGTCAAGGCTACACGGGGGATCTTTGTCTTTTATGTATGTGTATGCATGTGTGTGTGTCTTTACATGTATGTGAGTATTAAAGTGTACATTGTGTATACTTGTGTGTGTGTATATATATGATGTGCATATGTAGGCAGAGGGAAGGGGCGTTTTTGTAGCAGTTTTAATAATAATAATAATCGCGCTCGATCGCTGTGATTCGTTTGAAAGCAAAGCAGCCGCTTGTTAGTTAGTCGTAGTGTTGTTATTATTAGTGACATTACCGCTAAGATTTACACGGCGGACGCTTTTACTACGAAACGCGAAACGCTCACGGTGACATCTGTTTTGCGTTAACGAGTTTGCGTTTAATGTACATGACCGTGCACGCTTACGAATATGTCACTATCATATCATATATAATACTTGTATATAGACCCAGAAGAACATCGAGGGCCCTTTAATCCGGTAGTAGATTGGCGAAGCGATTGTGAGTAATAATCATTCGTTAGATGTGTCGACACGTCCCTTAAATCGATGATGTTATATGGTGAGGTCTGCATACACAAACACGGACTGTATACAGACCTAACCCATACATTCTATTCGATTCCCGTTCACGTTGGTTATTTGAACCGGTCCCGGGTCTCCCCAAGGTCGACTCAGCCTCAAATGAGTAACCCCCCTTCCCACCCCCAGGTGTGGTGCGTGGTTAACATCGCCACGAGGGGAGACAAAGGCGGCCGGGCGTGGTGCTTACTCACTAAACAAACACTTGCCCCTAATAGTCTATTAAGGTTATAGAAGCGAGTGTTTGTCTGTGTATACGTGGTGTGTGTGTGTGTCTATATTAGGGATGGATTCGATTCGAGAATCCATCTTCTCGGCTGGTGGCTTTGGACTGTTTCTGTCGTTTTTTTATTATTATTACACGCTTTTTTATTTTATACGCTTTTATTATTGCACGCTTTTATTTAACTTGCTCTGTCTGTTGTTGTTGTCGTATCCTCAAATCTTGTAACTCAATTATTACCCACTTTCCAATGCGGTATCGACTGCAAAACTTGGTATACTTGTGTCATACTGATGACAATACCATATTCTATCACACAAAATTAAACCAATTTTAAACTATCTATTTATACGCTTTTATTTAACTCGCACTGTCTGTCTGTTGTTGTATCCTCAAATCTTGTAACTCAATTCTTACCCACTTTCCAATGCGGTATCGACTGCAAAACTTGGTATACGTATGGCATACTGATGACAATACTATATTATATCATTAAAAATTAAAAATAAATATTTTTAAACATTATTTTGTAAATTTTATGTTTCGGCTTGGGTCTAATTGTCCACGCTCAACTCACGTTGGCTGTAATTGCCCACGGCCCCTTACGTTGTGGCAAGCTTCGGGGCCACTTCCTGGAGTCGTGGAGTTCTGCCTTTACTAGAACAGTACATTTCATTAAAGCGTGTTTTTTTAAAGTATTTTTAAATATTACTTATTTGTATCTCTCGTTTTGACAGCGCCGCTTGCTTTTGCTGCTTTCAGCCTCGGTGTAGCATCAGCAGATCCACCACCACCATCCATCCTACTTGCAAAAATATTCTTTACACCGAGAGAGCAAATGAGCGATTGTAAACACGGGGTTTGATCGTCAGCTTGACGACTCAATGGTATTCGTTACAAACCTTGTAGATTATGTTAATATACACACAATTATATTACACGCTTGACATGCATACGCTAAAGCAAAAAAAAACGGTTCATATCCGTTAACTTATTGCATAATAATTGAAAGATGTTTCAATTAGCTGACAGATTAATGTACGTGTAGCTAAGCCTCATTATGAACAGAATCGTTTGGGGTAAGGGTGGAGGGGTTACGCTTGAGGGTGCATGTGAACGTACCGAATAACGTTGTAGAATTCGCTACGTACAACAGTCGTAAGGGAAATGTCAATCCACTGCTGGATGAAGGCCTCCTTGACCATTCTTCACCACACACTGGTGGGCGTGGGCACAAGTGGCTGGGTGACAGAGCCGGTTTATTTGAGATATTATCACTCGCCACCTAACGCTGAGAGCAGTGGCCTGGAATCGAACTTCGGTTGGGTGCGTTTATCGCTTAGTGCGTTAACCAATGGCGCTAATCACTGCAAAGACAACGATTCATCCGAATAGCATTAACAGAATGTTGGGGCAAGTGCTGTTAGCGTGCACCTTTGAAAGCAGGCACGACACACAAGGGGGTGGGGGGGGGATGGCCAGCACCACGCCCGACCGCCTTTGTCTCCCCAGTGGCGACGTTTACACACCGAGTCTTCCTCGGGGAGGTCCAGGACCGGTTCAGAAAATCGTCACTGGTGTTGGTCGTGAGCGGGAATCGAACTCGGGTCGCCGGGGTTCAATCGGCTCACACCATCGCTCCAAGCCCAGCCAAACACAACGTGTGCATCACCAACTCGCACAAAGAGAGAGAGGCCCCATTCTTGGTTTTTTTTATTTGAGCCCCATTCTTGTGAGTATCGGTTGGCCTGGAGGTATCCGGAGGCAGGCCGTGTCGCCCGCAAGTAAACGGGATTGACAAGTGCCGCCTTGTTCGCCCCGTGC